CAACAACAACTCGCTGTCTTTCAACATAACTACAGACACCATCTCTCAAATCTACGTCTGCATTTAAAGAATTGTCTTAAAGGAAGAATGTGCAACATGTTACACATAAATAAATCAGAAATCCAGTCTATCCTGTGTAAATGTGTCTCTGAGTCCTGACTGTCTACAATGAGGGAGAAGCTCGAGTCCCGCTGGCTGTGTTGTTGTCAGAGCCGTGTTTACATGGACGGGACGGCCGGCTCCTCCCCTTGTGTATAAAAGCTGTTTTAGTCAAGAACTAGAGAGAAGAAGAAGAACATACTCACTGATTATTTGGATGTTAGTAAGAGTTTTTAGATCACGCTCATTCTGTGTCTGTTTACATGAAATGTGAAGCTACGAGCTAACTAAAGAGCACTAACATTAGCATGCTAACACAACAATGCAGGACACAGGTGACTGCAGCTCAAGCAGAGGACGATTTTGTCCACTAGTTGTACTAAACTCTGGGAGAACGCAAGTGGAGGGGGGTTGGAGGTGTGCCTCTGAAGGAGAGCGGAGGCTTCAGTATGGAAGAGGAGTGGCCAAACAGAAGTTTGTTTTGGTTTATGTTGGAGCTCAATGGCAACATCTACTGGGTAAAAAGTAGCAAATTCTTCCTTTAGAAACGTGATTCTTTATAACCTACATCACAACACAGGATTGTGTCAGTCTGATATCTTTAGGTAGGACTGGCAATCATTTGGTTGACAGTCTTTAAATGTGTTAAACATTTATGTTCACAGCGACTTACGACAACATTAACATCTCAGAGTAAAATCAAAATGGTTGCGCCATAAAATGCAACAGGTAAGTTATGTTTAATCACATGTATTGCTCCTTTGAAACAAAAAGACTGTCATACAATGGTTATACGATGAAGGTCATCAGCTGTCGCTGAAAGCTCAGGAGGAAATGTAGGAACACTTTTAGTCTTTATTTGGTGATCATTGCCCGAAGACTGGTAAGATATGAGAAGTTAATACAACAATTATCATATTCTGTGCATTTAGATTATTGTTTTTATTAATGTTTGTTACTAAATTAATAAATAAATCCAGACATGGAAGCTTCGTGCTGGTTTAAGCGGTGTCACAGAGAACAGCCAGTATGGAGCTGGCCTGAGAGGAAAGTTTACTGCTGCTGTGATCCGTCAGTTTACTGAGACTCTCCTTCATATTCACAGAGTTCAGCTCATCCTTCATCACACCTGGAAAAGACAAAGAGAAGAGAGAAGAAGTCAGAGAAGATGATGGTTAAAGAAGAAGATGACGATGGTCAGAGAAGAAGAAGATGATGGTCAGAGAAGAAGATGATGGTCAGAGAAGAAGATGATGGTCAGAGAAGAAGAAGATGATGGTCAGAGAAGAAGAAGATGATGGTCAGAGAAGAAGATGATGGTCAGAGAAGAAGAAGATGATGGTCAGAGAAGAAGAAGATGATGGTTAGAGAAGAAGAAGATGATGGTCAGAGAAGAAGAAGATGATGGTCAGAGAAGAAGAAGATGATGGTCAGAGAAGAAGAAGATGATGGTCAGAGAAGAAGAAATGATGGTTAGAGAAGAAGAGATGATGGTCAGAGAAGAAGAAGATGATGGTCAGAGAAGAAGAAGATGATGGTCAGAGAAGAAGAAGATGATGGTCAGAGAAGAAGATGATGGTCAGAGAAGAAGAAGATGATGGTCAGAGAAGAAGAAGATGATGGTCAGAGAAGAAGATGATGGTCAGAGAAGAAGAAGATGATGGTTAGAGAAGAAGAAGATGATGGTCAGAGAAGAAGAAGATGATGGTCAGAGAAGAAGAAGATGATGGTCAGAGAAGAAGAAGATGATGGTAGAGAAGAAGAAGATGATGGTCAGAGAAGAAGAAGATGATGGTCAGAGAAGAAGAAGATGATGGTCAGAGAAGAAGAAGATGATGGTCAGAGAAGAAGATGATGGTCAGAGAGAAGAAGATGATGGTCAGAGAAGAAGAAGATGATGGTCAGAGAAGAAGAAGATGATGGTCAGAGAAGAAGAAGATGATGGTCAGAGAAGAAGATGATGGTCAGAGAAGAAGATGATGGTCAGAGAAGAAGATGATGGTCAGAGAAGAAGAAATGATGGTTCAGAGAAGAAGAAGATGATGGTCAGAGAAGAAGAAGATGATGGTCAGAGAAGAAGAAGATGATGGTCAGAGAAGAAGATGATGGTCAGAGAAGAAGATGATGGTCAGAGAAGAAGAAATCGATGGTTAGAGAAGAAGAAGATGATGGTCAGAGAAGAAGATGATGGTCAGAGAAGAAGAAGATGATGGTCAGAGAAGAAGAGATGATGGTCAGAGAAGAAGAAGATGATGGTTAGAGAAGAAGAGATGATGGTTAGAGAAGAAAGATGATGGTTAGAGAAGAAGATGATGGTCAGAGAAGAAGAAATCGATGGTTAGAGAAGAAGAAGATGATGGTCAGAGAAGAAGATGATGGTCAGAGAAGAAGAAGATGATGGTTAGAGAAGAAGAGATGATGGTCAGAGAAGAAGAAATCGATGGTTAGAGAAGAAGAGATGATGGTTAGAGAAGAAGAGATGATGGTTAGAGAAGAAGAGATGATGGTCAGAGAAGAAGAAATCGATGGTTAGAGAAGAAGAGATGATGGTTAGAGAAGAAGAGATGATGGTTAGAGAAGGAAGAGATGATGGTTAGAGAAGAAGAGATGATGGTTAGAGAAGAAGAGATGATGGTTAGAGAAGAAGAGATGATGGTTAGAGAAGAAGAGATGATGGTTAGAGAAGAAGAGATGATGGTTAGAGAAGAAGAGATGATGGTTAGAGAAGAAGAGATGATGGTTAGAGAAGAAGAGATGATGGTTAGAGAAGAAGAGATGATGGTCAGAGAAGAAGATGATGGTCAGAGAAGAAGAAGATGATGGTCAGAGAAGAAGAAGACGATGGTTAGAGAAGAAGAAGATGATGGTCAGAGAAGAAGAAGATGATGGTCAGAGAAGAAGAAGATGATGGTCAGAGAAGAAGATGATGGTCAGAGAAGAAGAAATCGATGGTTAGAGAAGAAGAGATGATGGTCAGAGAAGAAGAAGATGATGGTCAGAGAAGAAGAAGATGATGGTCAGAGAAGAAGATGATGGTCAGAGAAGAAGATGATGGTCAGAGAAGAAGAAATCGATGGTTAGAGAAGAAGAAGATGATGGTCAGAGAAGAAGATGATGGTCAGAGAAGAAGAAGATGATGGTTAGAGAAGAAGAGATGATGGTCAGAGAAGAAGAAATCGATGGTTAGAGAAGAAGAGATGATGGTTAGAGAAGAAGAGATGATGGTTAGAGAAGAAGAAGATGATGGTTAGAGAAGAAGATGATGGTCAGAGAAGAAGATGATGGTTAGAGAAGAAGATGATGGTCAGAGAAGAAGATGATGGTTAGAGAAGAAGAGATGATGGTCAGAGAAGAAGAAATCGATGGTTAGAGAAGAAGAGATGATGGTTAGAGAAGAAGAGATGATGGTTAGAGAAGAAGAGATGATGGTTAGAGAAGAAGAGATGATGGTTAGAGAAGAAGAGATGATGGTTAGAGAAGAAGAGATGATGGTTAGAGAAGGAAGAGATGATGGTCAGAGAAGATCACCCAGACAGACACAGCTTTTAAAATATTTTATGTTAATTGGGTTAGGATGAGAATTTGTTGTAATTGTGGGTTGAGTGTAAAAAGAAAACTTACTGCAGTTAACCAGGCTGCAGATTAGACCTAAAGCACTGAACTTCACTTCAACTGCTCCAACAGGATCCTCCAACATGTTCTTCAGGAGAGGAAACAGCTGAGCGTCCCTGAACACATCCTTCACTGAGTCTGTACATTTATATAGATATATATAGAGAGGGGGGGATGTCACATTATTAAATCAGCTGATCCTTAAAAATCAATTGTTGGTTCAAAACTAAAAGCATTTCTAGCTGATACAGAATCTCTCAATTATAAATCTAATTCTTTATTGAAGTTATCTTGAAAAATCACTTTATGGACCTCATGCAGTTCTTTGTCTAGATGGTGATGAGAGTCAGACTACATTTAACACGTTACAGGCGCAGAGCACGATGAGGTTGATTAAGACTCTTCATTAAACAACAGGTGTGCTTTGGGCGTAACGTGAATCTAACCAATCACAGTGCACGCTCTCTTCCCCGTAAGGAGCCAATCACATGCTTTCTTCTTTTAATAAATTTGAGTCTTTTTATAACTTCTCCTATCTCCTTTCATTGTACCCATGCACACACACTGAACACACACACACACACACACACTCCACTTGTGTGTGTGTGTGTGTGTGTGTGTGTGTGTGTGTGAGTGTGTGTGTGTGTGTGTGTGTTCTTTAACATTTAATGAAGTAACATTAATGTTTAAGATTCCATAAAGCAAACTGAATATAATAATATAATAAAAACAGAATGCAGACAGACATACAAGCTCAGGATCATATCATCTCATTAACCAATGATTAATTAACTTAGTAATGCTAATGCTAATGCTAACTCTAATGCTCTGAATGTCTGTTTGTGAGAGACCACGATAGCAAAGACAGGAGCAACAAAACTGTTTTCAAAGTGAATAAGGAGTAAACAAAAATATATATAAAATATATATTTATGATTATTTATGAAGATTATTCTGAAGTGTTTCAGAAATTCAGAACGTAAAAATCTTGAAACATGTTTACCTATGTCGATGGCAGAGGCTATCGCCATAGAAACCAGGGCCTCGCTCTGCATGATGACATGCTCACTTGTTGCCATGGAGATAAGATGTTGAATCCCTGCTGCTTTGGCAACAGCACGAACAACTTCCTGTCAGAGAGGAAGTCAGACATTCACTGCATGCTCTTGTTTGTGTGTTTGTGAGTTTGGCTTGGGGGGGGGGTTCATCATGAGTCTGGTTCTGATCCAGGTTTCTGCCTTATGAAAGTATTTTTTCTCTCTTGATGTTAACTGTGCTCAATGTTTCTCTGTGCTCTACTCATGATAGATAATTGTTGGTCTTTATAAATAAAATTATACAATTCATTATCAGACGCTTTTAGCTAAAGTGACGAACAGAAGAGTAAGAACAACACAAGCAAGGATCTAGAGAGGAGGAAACAGGAAGTAACCAGCCATTTTAAAAAGGTTGAAATTGGCCGAGATTGGATTCAAACCCTCTTTCGTTGTGATGAGGACTATAGCCTATGTACACAGCTTGGCTCTCCGGCGCCCCTCAACCCAGACTGGTCTGATCTGCTTTCACACTCAGCTTTGACCAATGAATGATCAATTTATCAAGCCGTCAACAAATTGCACTGAGGATGTACAAAGTCTTCATCAGAAATTGGACAGATTGCAGTACAAGCACCAGAGAACCCAAAGAAGACACGATCAGCACTGTTGATCTGTGCAAAATGTTTACCGAAGGCGAGGAGGACAGGTTGTAAAGATGACACTCAAAGGCTGTTCTAGAACAGGAGGCTGCAGCCTCCCTCACAAGGTGGGGGTTGTAATGTAGTAGAGACAGATCCACAGACAGAAGCAGAAACAGGTAGATGCAGTCAAACATGCACACATTAAAATAATTATTAGTGTTAGTTTAAGTATTTTTAAGAACTACATGCTGATAGTAATACAATATGATGAAGTGTTGAGGAACCTCACTCCACCATTATGTTCATTGATGTTTGATTCAGGACATGCAGACAAAGCACAACTCCTGTTTGTTATCTTTTGAACTCTTAAGATACATTGACTCTGCCACACCTCAATGCAACATAAATGATTATCATAAACAGAAGCTTGTGTACTCATATTTAAAAGACTTCAACTTTTTCCTTCTGTCGTATGTGTTGAAAATTTAAAGATGATGTAAAGTAAGAATGTAAACTAAATAATACAGAAAGGTTCAAAATGACAATGCATGCCAAAGATAATGATCAAAATACAATTTTACAATTATTTATATCTACAGTTATAATTATAACATTGAGCTCTCTGTAGTAAGGGTTAGGCTTATCTAAAATAGTTATCAACATTTTAAAATAAAGGAATTGAAAGATTTCTCATCTGCACTTTGAGCCTTGATATGGCAGACAAGAAAAGTCTGGTCCCTCCTTTGAATGTCCAGGTGTGTAAAGCCTGGACATTGTGTTCTGTTTTTTCTGTTTCAGAGTCTTGGCGTCCCACTGGTGGTTGATTAGGTCTTACTTGCTTGTTCTGCTGTTGGAGACTGGTGTGTTTATGTGTATGTGTGTGTGCATAGTATTTTGGAGGAGACATGAGCTCACGGCGTTGCGGCTGTGTCTGATCAGAGCGGCGAGCAAGCGGCTGGCTTCTCCTCGGACTCCTGCATGATCTTTGGCATCACACCACTCCATGACCCGAGCGAGAAGAACCGAGTCTCTGCCGAGCACCAATGCAGCCTCCTCTGACCCCCCAGAGAAATAAAATGAAGTATTTAGTGGCTTAGTAACCCTAAGCTTAAAAAAAAGATATGTGAGCAAATGGATAGAAATATACCCAAATAAATGTTTCAGTACATGATGTCAAGAGTCAAATGTTTCAACCGTACTTCAATGCGTCTTATCATCAGCTTCAGGTCATTGATTGAAATGAAAAGAATGTATTCTTCCACAGGGCAGGGTAAATACCTGAAGATACTTTATAAAGGTAATTATTGTCAAGATGTCAAATTTGACCATCAGAAAATCATTTTCTCAACACAGCTTAAGGACATTGGACTCTGTTAGCTTGTTAGCTAATCCTCTAATTTACTCGTCTGTTTAGTCCTGAAACACTCTGGTGGATTTCAACGAGATGACAGGATAGGTAGCTGAGATTCATTTACATATTGATAAAAACAAGTTTAATTTTCAAATATTTATGTGTTTAAAGGAAACCTGAGCTCACCTTGTCCATCCACCATCATACGTAAAGTTCCCAGAAGTTTAAACTGAACTGGAGGCATGTCAGAGCGCAGCAGGCTCTTTATCCTCTCTGTGACTCCATCCTCCAACATCCGCTCTTTATTGGTGGCTGAGACAGAGAGAGTGTCATGATTTTAACCATGTTCAACCCATGTCATTTTTGCAGTGTCTGGATTTCGCTCACTGACAGTACCAGGGATGGCGAGGTTTCTGAGCGCGCTCAGTCCAGCATGTTGGACAGACACGTCTCCTTCATCAACATGTTTCTCCAGTAGGGTGAGGATGTGAGGCACCACGCCGAGGTCAAGCATCTTGACACAGTTACTGTCTGAAAGAAACTCAAACACACACACAAACTGGTTGGATCAGACGCCTTTCATTGGCAGAGCGTAGTGGGGGGGAGGGAGTGTAGACCTGGATCAGAGAGTTAAAGTAAGGAGGAGACGTTTCTGTGTCTGTTTTGTAAGCGAGCAGCAGAGTTTTAAATTTGATGTGAGCAGTAACTGGGAGCCAGAGTAAGGAGATGAACAGAGGAGTGACATGTGCTCTTTTAGGAAGGTTGAAGACCAGTCGTGCTGCTGCATTTTGTATCATCTGCAGAGCTTTGATAGTGCATGTAGGAAGACCTGCCAGTAGAGAGTTGCAATAATCGATGCGTGATATCACAAGTAAGGTAAGGTCTGATCTTCCTGATGTTGTTCAGGGCAAATCCACATGACTGGGCAATCGAGGCTACTTGAACCTTAAAAGTTAGCTGGTCATCAATCATGACACCCAGGTTCCGGGCAGACTTTGTGGGCATGAGTTTGGTTTGTTCCAAGCTGGATATTCAAATGATAAAGTGATGCTAAAGTGCTCACGATGGATTAAGCTGGGTCTTTATAACATAACAATGAGTAAGGTCTTTTACCTGCTTTTTGTAAAGTGTCTCGAGATAACACTTGTTATGAGTTGGCACTAAACAAATAAAGATTGATTGATGTTGATCTGTGGTTGCATAGAGGAACTGGCTGAGATAACAAGGAGCTCAGTCTTTCAGAGTTTGATTTGAATGTTGCATTAATTCATCCATTTAGCAGAGACTGTAGGGTAGGGCAAGAGAAGTGGTTCAGTGATTGTACCCGACCTAAAAAGCCTCTGCATGTTTCTAATAAGCTCCACGAGCAGAAACGTGCTCAAACTAGGATCAATATTGGAGATGCTTTTGAAAAATGGAGAGAGGTTAGAACACAGAAAGGTTTACAGACCCATGCAGAGCTGGATAAACACTGAAGCTTCAAGTGTGTGTTATTTCTTCTCACCATTTCTGGCAAAGTTAGCAATGGCAAGAGCTCCTGAGAGCTGCAGCTGAGTGTTCGAGCTCTGCAGCCACGACAGAACATCCTGATAAACCAGACCTGACCCCTCTCCAAAACACTTCTGCATGGACTCATCTGAAACACACACGCACACACAAAGACACACACAAAATCAGACACATTACCTTACCTGCAGATTTTTCATACAAATGAACCTTATAAAATGTTTTCTTGTCAGAGACTTCTACGTTCACTCAAATTAAAAACACATTTAAAATTAAAGGAAATAATGGATGGATGGAGAAATTCAGCAGTTCTAATGCTTTTTGGGGTGCCAGCAGGTATTTTAACAGACAACTTCATTGAAAGTTTGTTATATATATGTATATTTTTAAACCCACCACAAATATACCTTCTTTTTCTTTAAACCAAAAGTACCTCATAAAATAGAAAAAAACAGCATAACACACAACCACACGAGGATTCAACACAAAGCCAGTCAGTTCAAAGGAAGAAAAATATATCAAACAAAAAAATCCCAATAGCAATCAACAAAAGCTGTCTTTTTCACAACCCTCTAATTCAACTCAAATAAGGTTCAGTTCGACAAAACACTCCAAAAACAAATCGAAAGTGGGCCCTCTTGTCCGTGTATCACTATGACAACCTGTTCCAACCTAAACTAGCCGAGTGAGACTTCACAGACAACAACAAGGGAGTTACCTCCTGGACCTGAACGATCCTCTGGCTCCTCTTTAACCCTAACCCTCACTGGAAATCCTCCTGAGGAAAGTCCAGACATAAAGGCACAGCACCAAGAGACTACCACACCACAGACTTTTGGAAATGAATGGGGCAGCCACGGACGTGCCAACCGGCTTTCAGGTTTTACAGGCACCGCCATCTTGTTTTTGCGCCATCCCTTTGATCAACAGAGCAGCACCAATCAAGGAAGCTCATTGGCCAAAGAGCGACCCGTCACAAGATGTGGCACAGGTAGGCTAATCAAGAGGATTTAGACAGATCGCCACAGAATAGATTGATGGATGATAAATGAATACTAACATGGATAAAAAGACCTTCAGAAGTGTATTTATTATTTATTTATTCTTCCTCATTGTTTAGAAAACTGCTGATCACAGTTAGTCACCAGTTTAGTGATGGTTGATAATTGAATCAGAGGACGAAACATTGACTTTATCCAATCAAAGCTTACTTTGAACTGACACCTTTTGTTGCTCTTAGTTGTTGAATCTCCCATCTGCACAACTCATTTACCTTTGTAGGTTCCAATAAACAGATCTTCAATATTTAAATTCTAGTACAGATGATTGGATAATTGTCAATACTTTTCCATGGCAGGAAGCTGGCTCTCTTTTAAGCTGCCTAGATAACCTGTGGTCCCTTTCAGACACTCCAGCAATACTTGTAGCATGACGATCAACTTCATTAACAAGTTGGACCGTGGTGTTTTGGCATGTGGCCTTTATCAGGATGGATGACCCTGATTAAGGCCACAAGACCAAACATGACAGTCTAACACCAATCAGTCCTGTCATCATTCTACTAATGTTTATTTAATCAGTTTGAACCTTCAACATCACAACCTGCTTTGTGTTTCTGTCTAACATTCATCACAATCCATTAAACAGGATCAGAACAACGAGCAGGAAAATAATCAGACAGCAGCAGGAACCACTGATCAGCATCACACACACACACACACACACACACACACACACACACACGCACACAAACAAGTGGCCTCAGACAGCACACACACACTTCACAATCTCTACAACCTAACCCTAACCCCCTCAGGCCACAGATACAGATCTCTAACTTTCAGGACAAAGAGAGCCATGTCGAGCTTCACTCCCGCATCCATCAGGCTCATGAATGGTTGATCTATTTGTTTATACACATAAAGCACCACTCTTTTAACCTCTCATAACAATTATTCATGACCTCTTTATCATGCTTTTACTACAGCCACAGTTCAGCTTTTGGACCTCTTCTAGCCTTTTACTCTTCATGCAATTTGGTAGTTGGTGCTGGAAAATCCCACTCTGCTTCTTCAGTGTTGCCTGATGTCAGCTGTCTGTCCACATTGTCTTAACTCTTACCTGGATGGGTTTCCGCTCCAATAAGGAGATGAATATTGAGACTGAATAAGAGTTGCTGCTCTGTGCTCTGAGATGGGACAATAGAAAAAGGTGCTTAGCTGCGCTGACCTCCTAACAGCAGGGACACGATGAGGTTGGAGGCAATCTTGATGCTGCAGAGATCATGAGGGTCCGAAGCGGCCTGCAGAGCCCGGATCATATCCGATAAAGCTTCTGGTACTCCTGACTCTGCAAACTGCAGCTTCAGTGTATCTGTTGGAACAATTATTAAGATTATTAAGAAATGACCCTGTATCCCAATAAACTACCCACTATTGAGCCACTGACTGTGAAAGACAAGACAAAAACAGGGGTTGTCTCATATGGTATGTACTCTTTGATTTGGGACACAAGTCATTTACCTGTACATGGTTAACATTCTCCTGGTGTGAACATGAAACCTTTGGCCCTTTAAATCCACAGGGATTCATTCTTGTAAATGTGTGGGCCCTTCAATGGCTCCTTGTACTCTGCCTCCATTTCTCTAAGTCCCTGGGGTTAGCAGAGTTTCCAACCCTGTAGGGCGTTTCAATAAAACCTTTTTAACTTTCTGCTGTAGTTTATAAGTGTTATTAAATCACTGTCTGTTCCTCTCTTGAAAGTTTCATGTTGTCTGTTGTTTTGTCTGACCTCCTGTTTGAAGTGTTCAATATGTAATCATGTTCCCTCTGTGGGAATAATAATGATTGATTGATTAATGAATGATGACAGAATCCCAAAACAACCTGAAAGGTTTCCCTTCTTAGTTTAAACCTGTTGTTTATACATTTTTCTTCTATCATGTAAATCTAAGTTATGTTTCTGTGTGTGTGTGTGTGTATTTGAGGAGGGGGGGACAGAGAGAGAGATGATCTCTGGACTCAGAGAAAACGGGTCACATTTTAATAACACATTTCATCCAGCAGCTCTTACCGCTCTCTCCGAGTGATCCCAGTATCTCCAGTATCACATGACGGCGCTCAGCATCAGGAGCTCGTTTCAGCTGAAACGTCAACACTCCTGCAACGTCCTGATCAGCCAGAGCTTCCCGCGCAGAGTCTGCAAACACACACATCCATGACTAAAGACAGATATTTTTTGTCAAATAGATATGTAGTTATCTGATTTTAAAAGATGGAGGGATCTTCCTATATCCTTCATCGGCAGAGTTAACTCAATCAAAATGAACGTCCTACCTAAGTTCCTTATCCTACTATTACCCTACTAATGGCTTTACAAGCCCCATACTCAAAGGGTGGACTAAATCTTCCAAACTTTAGGAACTATTATCTTGCCTCCCAGTTCTGACCACTTTGGATTTGGCTTCATGCAGAAAGGAGTGAGGTTAGATGGGTATCAATAGAGCAACATGAGATGAGGACTACTCCTTTAAATATGATCCCATTTTTAGGTACTAAGAAAAATGTAGCCACTCTCACAGAGAACCCTATAATACTCTCCACATTTAGTGCATGGCAAGAGTCTCACTCACTCTTAGACCTAGATATTTCATTCCTCAAGAGGACTCCCCTATGGGGTAACCCAAACATCTCAAGCCATATTGCTGACGGAATATTACAAAGGTGGAACAACAAAAACATTCAAACAATTGCTGATTTGTATATAAACGACACATTTGCTAACTTTCAACAACTAACTGAAAAGTTCAACCTTCATAGTATATTGAATTGAATTTGCCTGTGTTTTATGGAGATTAATACAGTCTGTGATTGCTATAAGAGACGTTGCCAAGCCTCCTCATCATAAACATGACCTTGGTCTCTTTCCCATTTACTTTTAATAGGTGTTATGTTGTAGCCAGGAAATTTGTCATTAACAATACCATATATGGATGACATAAGTCCTCTACATGTAGTGGGCAGTCTATCAAGCAGGCATGTTTCAAAGGGGGTCTCTATAGGTTTATCTGGGAAATAATGTTTACTATTTTCCTTTACCCACTGGCATATTTGTAAGAATTTAAGTCCTTTAAGTCCTGCGTAGGGTTAGGGTCAGAACATATTATACACCCCATAGATTAAATAAAATTGACAGCAATGTATCTCCTATGTGTCAGAGATGCAAAATAACTGAAGGTGATCTTCTTCACGTGTTTTGGAGTTGTCCTGTGTTAGAATCTTTTTGGAAGCATACCATAAAATTGACTAAAAAGATAATAGGATCCAAAGTAGAGCAGGACCCAAAACTTTGGATATTGGGGGATATGAGCCCTGTCAATACATTCCATTATAAACAATATTGTATCTTACTTGCTAGCACTGCAGCAACGAAATGTATTTTAACTCAATGGAAATCTGAAGAGCCACCGTCAACAAGACATTGGATAAATTAACTGGTGTCCTACTGCACTCCTGAAAAAATATTATATAATGTAAGGAAAAAACGTGAAACCTTTAATAAAATCTGGGGTCCCTTTCTAGACATTTTGCCTTCTTTAGAGCAGGATGGCCATAAAAGTGCAACTCTTCCTAGACCAACTGAAAGTTAATCATCCGGATTAAGCCAAATGTGAATATGTGTGGACATAAGTACACGTAGATAAATGAAAGAAAATAGAGAGCCATACTGGGGAGAAGGGTGGGATATGGGAGGACGGGTGGGGAGATTTGTTTCAGTTTTTGTTTTTGTTGTTTTGTTTATATTTGTTATTGTTTTTCTCTAAATTCTTTGTTTTTATTGTTATTACTTAAAACAATAATAGCAATTTTTACAATTAGGTATATTACAAGTGAATAGACACTGGATTTGTGTGTTCTTTCTCTTATTTCTTTCTCAATCATTACTTTGCATACATACTATTATTGTAATTATTGTTACAACAATTATTGATGCTGTATTATTATTAGTATAGTTGTAATATACTTATATTATGACTATATAGAATTGCCTAATTGATATAGGGATGTATTGGAAGTACACATGCTAAATCTATTTAAGTATATACATCTACATTTTCTCTGGTTATTCATGCAGTATTATTATTTTTTTTATCATTATTATTTATTTATATTTTTTTTGTGTCTATTTGAAACACACCACAAAATGTTCATGTTGACAGTGGATTTGTTTGTAAAGTTTTATGTATTCCTATTTAACATAAAATAAATAAATAGGTATGTAGTTATACACAAAGCTATATACAGATCTTTTTTTAAATGTATTTCTGAGCTTTCTGTTCGTTTGGACTTGAGCCCAGGCCACCCGCTTCGAGGACTGTGTGTGTCGGGGGGTATGCTGCCGTTGTTTGTTCACAGCTTCTCCGTCTGAGCTACCTCAGTCCTTCCTGTCTGGAGGAACTGAATACATTGCGCTTGCAGACACAAAGTCCTGCACACACTCTGCACTTGTGGTGTCCCTCAAGGATTAGTCCTCGGCCCTACCCTCTTCACCCTCTATCTGATTCCCCTCTGTCACGTCATCACGCAGCAAGGAATTTCATTCCCCTGCTATGCAGACGATACCCAACTATACATGAAAACCCACACCACCTCCTCTAAACCACACCCCAGAAGCCATCCTAGTCGGCTCTCCACACCAATTTCATTCGTAACTACAATGTCCTTCTCTGCTCAAGACATCCATCTCTCACGATTGGTCACCGACCTGGCTCTCATCTGGCCTTTCAATCACACATTAAAATATCTGCAAAAGCTCATTCAAGTCCCATCTCAAAAACATTGCAAAACTCAGTCCCTTACTCATCCTCCAAGATGCTGAAACACGCATCCACGCCTTTGTCTCCTCCATGTTCGACTACTACAATGCACTTCTCATCCTGCACTCACTACACTGGCTTCCCGTCTCACTCAGGATCGAATATACAATGTCATTACTCACCCATCAATTCTACAATTCATTTAGCAGCAATCAGTTGCATACACAGCAATTCCCTTTCATACCTTAAAGAACTGCTCACCCCAGAAACCCACACAAGACACCTCTAACCTGCTGACACCACCCCCCTCCAAACCCCGCTCTTTGGGGGACAGAGCCTTCCATTCTGCTGCCCCAAACACCTGAGGGCCCCACAGACTGTCAACTCCTTTAAAAAAGGACTGAAAATGTTTCTCTATAAAAGAGCCTTCTCTTAAATCCACTGCTCTTAGAAGTTATTTTATGCTCAGGTTTTTAATTCTGCCTGATTTTACATGTTTTATTTCAGTTGTTGCTTTTATGCTTTTGTTCCAAAGTTGTGGGACTATGATATGTGATTCAAATGTAAAGTGCATTATAAATAAAATGTATTATTTTTTTCTTCTTCTTAGAAACAAAGAAACAACCATACAGAGATGCAACACAAAGCAATTAAGTTTCAAAAAAAGAAAAATGTATTAAAAAAAAATATCCAAAAGGCAATCAACCAATGGTGTCGGTTACTGGTAGAAAGTTCAGTGTCTTTTCACAGTCGAAAAACAGTAACAAAAAATACCTTTTTAATCCACTTCCAACAAGCCACAAGCTGAAACGTGTTGGTTGGATTTGTTAATAAAGGGGATCTTCATACTACAAGTGTTGCTGGAGCTTTTTGCCCTCTTCTAGTTCAGAGTTAGAGTTAAGGTCAACTACACACAATAAGAGTGGGCCAGTCCAGGGTACGCTGGTGGCGCAATGGTTAGGGCGCACGTCCCATGTATTGAGACTCTCATCTCAAGCGGTAGGCCCGGGTTCGCCTCCACCCATGGCCCCTTTCCGCATGTCATTCCCCACTCTCTCTCCCTGGTTTCCGACTCTATCCACTGTCCTCTCTCTGCATTAAAAGCCCAAAATAAATCTTTAAAAAAAAGAGTGGGCGGGTCCTCTTGTCTTTGACACAACAAAGTTTTTCAAGGCAAAGCACAAATCTTGCAGGTATTCATCCCATTGTTTCTGGTGGTCAGCAACATATGAGGCTATCATGGTCTTTAATGTATGGTATATTCTGTCGGTAAGGTAGGGTTGTGGATGGTAGGCTGAAGTGAACATCTGTTGCAGGTTCCAGATCTGAAATGTTCCCTGGAGACATCAGAGGCAAACTGGGGTCCCTGGTCTGATAGGAGATCGTCTGGAACTAACACAACAGGGCAAGGGCTTCTGAGGACAAAACAGCACAGGCAAGGTGCAGGTGTGTCCTGCAATCTGAAAGGCCATCTCCCTGACCCGTCAGCTGAATACAGAGGATCTCCTGAGCAAGGGTGAAGGTTGGCCCTCCCTAATTGGCAGTATGCCACAACTTGTAATTTAGGAGGGTGTATGAAGAGCCTGAATCCACCATGGCCATTGCCAGTTTCATACCAATTATCAGGGTTACAGTCAGTTGGTGTGGTAGAGGCCTGTTGGGTACAGATCTATAACTAAAGATAGATCTATAACAGTAACAGCTAAAGAAAGTGCAACATCTGTAGAAAGTTCAGAAAATTTTAACAAAACACAGAGACAACTTGACCTTGAATTAAATTTAACACAATAATCCTCACCAATATCAGCCAGGTTGCAGAGAGCCAGCAGGCACACATTGACCAGCGGGTCGTTCTCCGGATAATCCCTGATGATGGTCACTAGTCTGGGGATGACGCCTCTCTGGACTAACTGGTCTTGCTGGTGCGCTGGTTCACATATTGAGAAGAAGAGATACCACACAGAATTGTTATTTTATTATCTTATGTATTTGTGTGCCTTTTGTTCAATTGAACTTTACAGCATTTTTAGTCTAACTGATTTACTATTATTGCTGCTGATGAGTTAATAATATCTGATTACAGTCCATGAAATGTAACTGTTCAAAAAATAAAAGATTTTTGGGGACAGAAGCCACATAATAAATATACACGGATGTTCTGTCCGTCATTTAGAATATTACAGGCTTCAATTAGGAGAAATGATCATAAGATTGACTTTTGTACAAGTAATTACTTAATTCACTTTACAGTTTATACAGAGATGTGGAAGCTTTGGAAAACCTCAGCAGTCTGCTTAGCAGTAAATGACGCCGCAGGTACATCAAATCCTTTGATTCATCAAATTTGCAGGAAAGTTGGACCGAAGACCCAAACTGAACAAAATCCTAACGCTTAATAAAGGTGGATTTGCTTAATTGGTGTTAATTCCTAGAATGGCAACATTGCAAGTTTTTGGTGGGACTGAACAACTCGATCCTTATCATCAGAGAGCCTGCAGACACACACACACACACAGAGACACACACACACACACACACACACACACACACACACACACACACACACACACACACACACACACACACACACACACACACACACACACACACACACACACACACACACACACACACACACAGAGACACACACACAGAGACACACACACAGAGACACACACACACACACACACACACACACACACACACACACACACAGAGACACACACACACACACACACACACACACACACACACACACACACTCTCACTTACTCACTCACTCACTTACTCACTCACTCACAGTTATCGAAGCAGATTCGTCCGATGGCTCTTCCAGTGTTTAGCAGCATCTCCTCGTCGTTACTTTTCAAATGTGGAACCAGAACTTCTACCAGACCTGCCTCAATGCATGGCTCCCTCACTGCAGCTACAACACACAAAATACACGTGTGTATATAAATTTGAGGTAAGATAAGATAATCCTTCATTGATCCCCAGAAGAGACAGTTAGATGTAGGGTAGGGAAAAGGAAATATTAAGTTCATCCAACAAGAATGACAATAGACAAATCAAAGGAACAGAGCAAGATTAGTATTCACAGAACAGGACAATTTAAGACAGTAGGATAGAATTATATTATAGGCATGTTCTGTAAACAGAAGTATGATACATCCACTGGCTAACGACTGATGTAGACTTCACCCAAGGCAGACTAAAGATCGGTACACATCAAAATCTAAGAGGGGCAGTCCAAAGCTGAAGTCAACACTAACAATGGTCACAAGAAAACTCATGAGAAGGAATACTGGCACAAGGTAACTCAGGAATACACAATGCTCACACGGCACACTGAGATTAGAAACACAATCAGAGCAATCTCTTTTATTTCCTGTTCTATATATTGGCATGAATTTGACCAATAGATAACTGGCATGACTTCATTAAAAAGATTCACGAGCTGGAAAGGAAAGGATGACTCTCTTATTAAGATTGGGAAAGGACTTGTACAATTCAAAATGGAAACTATATTTGACAGATTAATACATTTTTATAGGTTTTTTAAAAGCTTAAAATGTGGTTTACCTCCCTTTCACTGTCTCTATTTAACATGTAAATTATGAGATTCTGTATAAAGACCCCTTGAATTATACAATTTAGCCTTTGACCTGAAAATGGAACATCTCTAAATGTCAAGCAATTATTCTGATGTTATGTTGTCTGTGTTTTTCATTAGAAAAAGGGAAAAAAAATTTAAGTGTCAAAAAATACACAATCAGGAGTTAACGAGACGCAGGGGAGTCTAACTGGGGCGAGGTGAGATGTAAGAGGGTTAAAGTAAGGCGTTCATTTGAATTATGGTACACCTGGTGGGATGAGGGTTTGGCAGTGAAAGGGGTTGTCAAGGATGTCTCTGATTTTTGTCCATCATCCTTTCAGCCACAGTCTCCAAACCCAAAGCCACCACAAAGCGGTCCTTCCTCACCAGCTTGTTGAGTCTGGACCCAACCAGCACACAGTCCGCTGACTGACTGGTCGAAGTCTTCAGGAGCCTCACCACCAGAGACTGGTAGAGGGTCTTCAGGAGTCTTACCACCATAAACTTGTCAAGGTCTTTAAGAGTATGACCACCAGAGACTTGTTGAGATCTACAAGAGTATGACCACCAGAGACTTGTTGAGATCTTCAAGAGTATGACCACCAGAGACTTGTTGAGATCTACAAGAGTATGACCACCAGAGACTTGTTGAGATCTACAAGAGTATGACCACCAGAGACTTGTTGAGATCTTCAAGAGTATGACCACCAGAGACTTGTTGAGATCTACAAGAGTATGACCACCAGAGACTTGTTGAGATCTTCAAGAGTATGACCACCAGAGACTTGTTGAGATCTACAAGAGTATGACCACCAGAGACTTGTTGAGATCTACAAGAGTATGACCACCAGAGACTTGTTGAGGTCTTCAAGAGTATGACCACCAGAGACTTGTTGAGATCTACAAGAGTATGACCACCAGAGACTTGTTGAGATCTTCAAGAGTATGACCACCAGAGACTTGTTGAGATCTTCAAGAGTATGACCACCACAAACTTGTTGAGATCTACAAGAGTATGACCACCACAAACTTGTTGAGATCTACAAGAGTATGACCACCACAAACTTGTTGAGATCTACAAGAGTATGACCACCAGAGACTTGTTGAGATCTTCAAGAGTATGACCACCACAAACTTGTTGAGATCTACAAGAGTATGACTACCAGAGACTTGTTGAGATCTTCAAGAGTATGACCACCACAAACTTGTTGAGATCTACAAGAGTATGACCACCACAAACTTGCTGAGATCTACAAGAGTATGACCACCACAAACTTGTTGAGATCTACAAGAGTATGACCACCAGAGACTTGTTGAGATCTTCAAGAGTATGACCACCACAAACTTGTTGAGATCTTCAAGAGTATGACCACCACAAACTTGTTGAGATCTACAAGAGTATGACCACCAGAGACTTGTTGAGATCTTCAAGAGTATGACCACCACAAACTTGTTGAGATCTTCAAGAGTATGACCACCACAAACTTGTTGAGATCTACAAGAGTATGACCACCAGAGACTTGTTGAGATCTTCAAGAGTATGACCACCACAAACTTGTTGAGATCTACAAGAGTATGACCACCACAAACTTGTTGAGATCTACAAGAGTATGACCACCAGAGACTTGTTGAGATCTTCAAGAGTATGACCACCAGAGACTTGTTGAGATCTTCAAGAGTATGACCACCAGAGACTTGTTGAGATCTTCAAGAGTATGACCACCAGAGACTTGCTGAGATCTTCAAGAGTATGACCACCAGAGACTTGTTGAGATCTTCAAGAGTATGACCACCAGAGACTTGTTGAGGTCTTCAAGAGTATGACCACCACAGACTTGTTGAGATCTACAAGAGTATGATCACCAGAGACTTGTTGAGATCTTCAAGAGTATGACCACCAGAGACTTGTTGAGGTCTTCAAGAGTATGACCACCACAAACTTGTCAAGGTCTCGGGGCGCGCTGGTGGCGCAATGGTTAGGGCGCGCGTCCCATGTATTGAGACTCTCATCTCAAGCAGTAGGCCCAGGTTCACTTCCACCCATGGCCCCTTTCCACATGTCATTCCCCGCTCTCTCTCTCTGGTTTCAGGCTCTATCCACTGTCCTCTCTCTCTGGTTTCAGACTCTATCCACTGTCCTCTCTCTCTGGTTTCAGACTCTATCCACTGTCCTCTCTCTGCATTAAAGGCACGAAAAGCCCAAAATAAATCTTAAAAAAATAAAATAAAATTGTCAAAGTCTCCAAGAGTATGACCACCACAGACTGGTTGAGGTCTTCAAGAGTATGACCACCACAGACTGGTTGAGGTCTTCAAGAGTATGACCACCACAGACTGGTTGAGGTCTTCAAGAGTTACAAACACTGAAACATCTAAGTCTCAGGAAGAACAGACTGCTCTTTCCCTTCCTTAAGAGGGCGTCAGTGTTGTGGGACCAGGCCAGTTTGTTGTTGATGCAGACCCAAAGGTACTTGTTTGAATGACCCGCCTCCTCCGCCTGGATAATGACTAAGGCAGGTGGCCTCCTCTTCCTCTGGTAGTCCACAACTACCTCCCTGGTTTTGTTTACGTTGACCTTCAGGTGGTTTCTGTTTACCATGTGAGAAAGTTTTCCATCAGTCCTCTGTTCTTATCCTTGTTGTCATCACTGATGCATTCAATAATGGAGGAGTTGTCAGGACACTTTTGGAGGTGACAGGAACCAGAGTTGAACTGGAACATGTGAAGAGATTGAAGAGGAACTGTTGGGTTAGAACAGTTCCTTGACTAACTATCACCCACTCAGAGATGCAGCCAGCCACTCTGATGTACTGTGGATGGCTGCTAAGGTAGTCCATGATCCAGGCTGTGGTGTCAGGGTGCAGTCCTATCTCAACCAGCTTGTCCCTCGGGAGGCAGGGCTGGATGGTTTTAAAAGCATTGGAGGAGTTAAAGACCATGACTCTTCACAAATACACTCCTGAACATTTCCAAAAACATTAGGCTGATTATCTTAAGAAAGAAACGTCAGTTACAGCAAAGCACCATGAACCTTATCAAAGAACGTACCTGTACCTGGACTTCCGGTTATAGGAGATATTGAATCTTGGGCAAGTTAATTAAGGTGGATAAAAAGGAAAATAACCTTCTCGGGCCATCTCTGCCACCACCAGCGCCACCTGGATATTCAGGTTGCTTCTCCTCTCTAACACCTGAGCCAGAGTTGGAAGAATCCCACTCCTGGAAATCTCCACAGCAGCGTCCTTCTCTGTAGATGACAAACACACCTGTTCATACAAACATGAGTAACAAACACACCTGTTCATATTAACCAGAATAACAATCAAACTTGTTCACACCCTCATGTAAGCCATGGTAACAAACACACTACTTCATCAATCAAACAACACCTGAACACATGAACAGGTGTGTGTGACTCACTCTTCTCCAGCAGGGCAGTGAGCAGAGTGTCCAAGTGAGGCTTCAGCTCCTCTTCAATCAGCTCCGTGCTCACACTGAGAGCCTGCAAGGCATCACTCAGGGCGTCTGCAACACACACAGACACAGTAACAGACACACATATACAGCCACCAAAACACACACACACAGATGGCGATCACCTCTGATAATCTCTTGTAAGCTGAATGAAAATAGCTCAGAGTGAAAGCTGCTGTCAGACAACCTGCTAGTCTCTGTGTGTGTGTGTGTGTGTGTGTGTGTGTGATTTATTTTGTGTTTGTGTACATCACTTGATTGATCTGTGAACTGTGTAAGTCTAAATCTTGAAATATTTGACTTGTCAGCCTCCGATCAAGAATTAATTGAATTCAAAGGTCACATATCCTCCTCCTCTTCAGTTTAAATAAGTCTCAGAGCTCCTCTAAACATGTGTGTGAAGTTTCTTCACACACATGTTCTAAATCCACTCTGATCCTGTATTTGATCCTTTAAATATGTAAATGAGCTGTGTCTGACCACGCCCCCTCTCTGGAAGGGCTCAGGTGTACTCGGTCTTTCTCGCTCCATGTCCTATTGTTTACGTTGAGAAGGCTCAGAGGGCAGAACAAACACCTAGCTGTGGGAGTGTCACCCACCTGGGGGAGGGGTTACTGCCCTTTCTGATGTCATGACGGGAAAATCTCCAAACAACCTGTTTGAGCACACATTTTCTGAAAAGTGGAGCAGGCAGAAGACGGAGAGGATGGACTTTTCTCATCATTGGGGGGTTTGTAGACAGACTAGAGACACGTGTTAGTGTCAGGGGAACATGGGGAAGTGTATGTTGTATCATATGTGACCCTCAGAGTAATAAATGGCATACCACAGGGCTCATTCTTTGGGCTGCTGTAATTCATATTGTATATTAACATTAATAAAAATGTTCCAAATAAAAAATGACTATCTATCTATCTATCTCTCTCTCTTTATCTCCCTACCCTCTGCCGTCATACACACAGTTGGTACACTAATGGTCGAAATCACAGCTGTTATTATACGTCATCACTGATATGAAGCGCGCGCACACACACACACACACACACACACACACACACACACACACACACCAGACACACATACACACAAACAGCAGGATATAGATATGTATTTACTCACCGGTGTCTGTCATGGCTGCTGCTCTGCAGTCTCCCTGTTAGCTCTGTTAGCTCTGTTAGCGCTGTATATGTGTGTGTGTGTCTGTGTGTCTGTGTGTGCATAAGTGTGTGTGTGTGTGTGTGTGTGTGTGTGTGTGTGTGTTGCTAGCAGGAGATAACCTCCCTTCTTAAGAAGCTGATGCTCAGCTCTGTTTCCCTCTTCTCCTCTCTCTCTCTAAATCCCATTAAGCTAACTCTCTCTCTCTCTCTCTCTCTCTCTCTCTCTCTTGCTCACTCCATCTCTCTCTCTCTCCCTCCCTCTCGCTCTCTCTCTCCCTCTCTCCCTCTCTCCCTCTCTCTACTACCCCTCCCCCTCTGTCTCCCCTCCCTGCACAAACTGCGCCTGCGCTCTTTTCTTCCTGCAACAATTTTTCAATTTAATTTTAATTCAGTTAATTTCGATTCAGCCAAGCTTTATTGGTACAATAAAATGAGGGAAAATCCCCAAATCAAATAATCACATAATTATAAACAATAAATAATACCTAATACAAGCTATTATATTACATTTATGTTTTTTATTTTGTCTATTTCAATGTTTAGATTTCATTTCCTGTTTTATTTTGCCCCTTTCTGTCTTCGTGTTGCATGTTTTCCTTTTGTGTATTTTTTATTGCTTCATTTACTACTTTGATCTTTAGTATCCTGTTTTATTTTGTAGTTCTTATCCTCGTGTTTCTCTACATCCTGCATGACTTTAGTGAAGCTCCAAGAGATGTCTCTACATCACTAAGAGAGAGAGGCTAAGAGAAAATAGGAAATGTTGCGTGGGAATATCAAATGTCACCTGTAACTGGTGAAAGGCTGAAAAAACATTATCTTTAAATTAGTCATCCATCCCTTTATCTCGCCAACAAGAGAACTGAAATGAACCGGTGCCTGCAGGGAAATAGGATTTTGGACTGTTAGATAGAGCAAGGATTTCACATTTTAAATTCCTAGATATTCAGTTATGTCCTTCCACCCTATAATACTATTGTAAATGACAGGATTATGTTTTATGACTTATTAGTATAACAGGTGACAAGAGCCCAAGAATCAATATATGTTTCTCTTTAAGGCTTACATGCAACCATAGCCAAAACTGGTGCGAATGACCTGTCCAATTGTAAAATATAAAATTAGGCAATGAAAGAACATCTATATCAATAGCAAACTGTAACGTCTTAAGCCTCTGTCTGGTTGTTCTTCCCTGCCAGAAAAAATAGAAAATGCCTTTTCTAAGTCTTGGTTTTCTGGGTAAGTGTCTGCAAGGGATGCAAAATTCAAGAGAGGATATTCATCTTAATAAAACTAATTTCATTGCAATTCGGACAATACTCAGCTTTACGTATCAATGAAGCCTGATGTCACCAATCAGTTATGAGAACTAGAAGCATACCTTAAGGTCATTAGGACCTGGAAGACCAGAAATGTTTTGCTTCTTAATTCAGAGAAGACTGAAGTTATTGTGCTAGGCCCTAAGAACCTCAGAGAGACTTTTTCTAGTGATTTGACTGTCCTTAGTGACATCAGCCTGGCATCTAGCACCACTGTTAGGAATCTAGGAGTTCTATTTGATCAAGATATGTCCTTAAGCTCTCACATCAGGCAAATTTCAAGAACAGCGTATTTTTACCTCAGTAATATATCTAAGATCAGGAATATCCTGTCGCAAAATGGTGCAGAAAAACTAGTTCATGCATTTGTTACCTCCAGACTGGATTATTGTAATTTTCTTTTATCAGGGTGCTCTGGTAAGTCTCTAAAGACTCTTCAACTAGTCTACAACGCTGCAACTCGTGTACTGACCAGAACCAGGAAAAGGGACCACATTACTCCTGTGTTGGCTTCTCTGCACTGGCTCCCTATACAGTCTAGAATAGAATTTAAGATCCTTCTTCTCACTTACAAAGCTCTAAATGGCCAGGCACCATCTTATCTTGAAGAGCTTATAGTGCCGTACTACCCTTCGAGAACATTATGGTCCCAGAATGCAGGCGTGCTCTTGGTACCTACAGTCTCTAAATGTACTATGGGAGGTAGAGCCTTAAATTATTAGGCCTGCTCGTGGTACTTACGCTCTCTAAATGTATTATGGGAGGTAGAGCCTTTAGTTATCAGGCCTGCTCGCGGTACAGTCTCTAAATGTACTATGGGAGGTAGAGCCTTTAGTTATCAGGCCTGCTCGCGGTACAGTCTCTAAATGTACTATGGGAGGTAGAGCCTTCAGTTATCAGGCTTGCTCGCGGTACAGTCTCTAAATGTACTATGGGAGGTAGAGCCTTCAGTTATCAGGCCTGCTCGTGGTACCAATGGTCTCTAAATGTACTATGGGAGGTAGAGCCTTCAGTTTTCAGGCACCTCTGCTTTTGAATTAGAATCAGACACACTGTGTACTTTTGAGAATACGCTTTTGATAAAGCTTATAGTTAGGGCTGGCACAGGTATGGATCTATGGACTGGCTTAGATTGTCTGGGGAGCTGTCACTGTACGCTCCTATCTCTCTCTCTCTCTCTCTCTCTCTCTCTCTCTCTCTCTCAATTCATTTCAATTGATTATTGGCATGACAGATCAGCAATCCATGTTGCCAAAGCAGTAACAGAAAACTTGTGATTTACAAATGATTCCAATATACAAATATAACACATATTATAAAAGACATTAACAACAACTATGGATAACTTCTAAGGTGTAATTATTAAGAAACATGAAGTGTAGTTTGTCTTTATGTGTGACAACCATGAATCTATTTTGCAGCTCGTACTGCACACAGACTTTTATCTCTCTCTTTGTGCATTCACATCTTATTGCTGCATGTAAATCTTCATGTACTATGTAAGTAACTATCCACATATTTTCCTGGGAGCTCCTGAGCTCTTGTAGGTTCCTCTGGATTGCTGGTGGGGACTGCCTGCTGCTATGGACCCCCCCCCTTCCACCCCATTTGTCCCAATCCTTCTTCCTGCATCTTCCCCTATCCCATTTTTCAAACCAAAGATTTCTGCCTCTTTGAAAGACGTTTTTCTCTCCACTATAACTGTGCTAAATGTTGCTTAAGTGCTAATGATGGATTAATGCTGGGTCTTTGTAATATAACAAAGAGTAAGGTCTGCTATACAAAGTAGATTGATTCATACAAACATACACACATACATTCATAAAACATACATAAGCAACTTAAATCCGTATCCGGCGCCGCTCTGGGTGGCTGCTTGTTACAGCAGCTCCGAACCCCCCTTGTTATTGTTTTTTAGTTTATTTTGTTAATATTGACCTTTTGTTGCTGTAACTTTGCGAGTAACTCCAACTTCAAACAACAAACATGGACATTCATCTTTTTGGAGTATTGATGTTGTTTTTCTTGGTGTTGGACTCTTTAAAATTTCCTTGGGAGACCCATTCAGTCACGGCTCCATTGTTTACACCCGTGAACAGCTGGTTGCGCTGTGCCAACCTCGGATACATCCAGCCGAAAGACCGGACATCCCCGCAGAACTACAGAGGAGGAGAAGGGGATGCAGAGCCGGGGTGAAGAGTCGGGAAAAGAAAAGACGGTACAAACCATCCACGCCGTCTTTAATGATGGGGAATGTAAGATCTCTCCCTAATAAGATGGAGGAGCTGACAGCGCTCAGCGCTCGCAGTTTGCCTACCAGCCAAACATCGGGATGGATGACGTCGTCATCTACCTGCTGCAGAGATCCTGGACTCACCTGGAGAACACCGGCAGCACTGTGAGGGTCATGTTCCTTGACTTCTCCAGTGCCTTCAACACCATCCAGCCTGCACTGCTCAGGGGGAAGCTAGAGAGGGCGGGGGTGGACTGTCACCTGGCTGCATGGACAACGGACTACCTCACCAACAGACCACATTATGTGAGGCTTCAGGACTGTGAGTCTGACATGGTGGTCTGCAGTACAGGGGTCCCGCAGGGGACAGTTCTCTCCCCTTTTCTCTTCACCCTGTACACCTCGGACTTCTGCTACAACTCTGGGAGCTGCCACCTGCAGAAGTTCTCCGATGACTCAGCCATCGTGGGGTGTGTGTCCAAGGGGAGCGAACAGGAGTACAGGCAGGTCATCATGGACTTTGTCGACTGGAGTGAACTCAACCACCTTCAGCTCAACGCCAGCAAGACAAAGGAGATGGTGATTGACTTCCACAGGAAGTCACCCCAGACTGCACCGGTGAACATCCAGGGCTTGGACATAGAGAGGGTGGAGACGTACAAATACCTGGGTGTTCACCTCAACAACAAACTGGACTGGTCACACAACACCGACGTCCTGTACAAGAAGGGCCAAAGTCGACTACACCTGCTGAGGCGACTGAGGCCCTTTGGAGTGTACAGGACTCTGCTACAGACTTTTTATGACACTGTGGTGGCGTCTGCACTTTAGTCTGCTGGGGAGGAGGGAGCACAGAGAGAGACAGGAAGAGACTGAACAGACTGGTCTGGAGAGCCAGTTCTGTCTTGGACTGTCCTCTGGACTTTGTAGAGGAGGTGGGTGAGAGGAGGATGTTAGTGAAGCTGACAGCCATCATGGACAACCCCTCTCACCCCCTGCATGACACTGTGGGGGCCCTGAGCAGCTCCTTCAGCAGCAGACTCAGATACCCTGCAAGACAGAGCGCTACCGCAGGTCGTTCATTCCATCTGCCGTCAGACTGTTTAATCAGACTCTTTAACAAAATCACCACCTCATGACTCATATCAATAATGCTACACACTGTGTGTGTTTTTAATAATAATAACTCTTTCCACAAGTGGAAGTGTAAATACCTTGTATTATTCTATTATTGTATTTTTTCTCCCTTTATTTAACTGATGTACATATGTTTGATTTTTAACTTCTTGTTACCTTTGTTAATTATATTCCTGTTTCTTGAGCTGTTGTGACAAAAAAAATTCATCAAAGCTCATCATTTGATTTGAATACATCAAATTCAAATCAAAGCTAAAGAAACCAAAGGTTGAATTATTTGGATTTTTGTAGTTTTTGTCTCTAACAGCAGGGGGAGTGCTCATACCATTATCTGCTATGGTATGCAGTTTACAGACACACACAGACACACGTTGCATTAACATCCAGTTACATCATAGAAGATGAGGTTTACCCTACCCCCCCCCCCCCTCTGCTGGTTGAGCTCTAATGAGGCAGTGTGGGGGTCATGTGACAGAGCAGTGAAGAAATTAAATTAGTCTCAGTGACTTTAATCTAAAGGAGCC